CGCAAAGTTTCAATGGTTTATGGTTGAGTTACCTAGTTGTAGTGGTTAATCGGTCTTAGAGAAAGTCGAAGAACCAGTTTTGTATGGAAATCAAAAATAAATGTTATGGTAATATTAAGGCTGTTCTTCTCCCTTCCCTTCCTTTCCTCTTCGTCTCACTTCATCGCCGGATTCTTCTGGGTCTGGAGGATTAAATTAAGGTACGAGAACAGCGATGAAGAAAATGAAGACTCAATTTTCTTAAAGTAAAAATAAATTTATAACATAGACCGGAAGGCATACGGATGTAATGTAATTTTGATGTATCAGGTCCTAATCCTCATTAGCATCATCCCCACGATCCTGATACGCTACTTGTGATGTACATAACTCTCAATGCAGTTCCGTGATCCTGCGGTTTAAAACAAATATACCAGATCGATTAGCTGAGGTTTGAGTGGCGTTTGCACCAAGATAAGCATCCTATTCTTTTTCATGATGAATTTTAGACCGTTAGATTAGTGCACTGGACGATGCCAACCGTCCAACCCAGGTCATTGAGTTGATGAAGCAATGGGCCTGGAATCTCAAGTAGCCCAACAAGCTCATTTATGATTTTCGTTATTGGTCTGACGTAATTATTCAAGGGTTTAATAACATTAAATTAACTAAACTACATTGTTTGAAAAAAAAAGAGAGAAAAAGAAAGACTAATCTTTTCCTCTAGCCATAATCAAAGAAGGGAGCGACAGCCACTTGGCTTCGCCTTTCATTTTTTCCCTTCGCCCATTGGTTGACTTTGTCTATTTCTTCATCTTGAGGATAAATTAGATCTTCTTGATTTGGAATAATTGTTAGCCCCGATCCTGCTGATTATTCTACCAAATTTAGATTGCTTTAATTCGTGATAAAAACCAGAAGATATGTGTTAATGCATTTTTCTTATTAAAAATAATACTACCGATAATACATTAAGTTGATTGATTATAAAATAACTATTTAATCTATCTAAGTCACTCATATTTGATTTGAACTATTTAAAATTTAAAATTTTATAAATTCTCATCCTAGGTTGAAAATATATTTTATTTTTATTCTATACTTCTTCTGTAACGAATCAAAATCATGAAATATTTCTGTTGGGATTTCGTCATCACACAATCCTCTGTTAACTAATAGTTAGTTATTAGCAGCATTAGATATTTAGCTTACCCATAAAAATTATTTGAATTTCGAATAGGTAAATTATAAATTGCTGAATGTGAATTGCTTAAGATTAGCTTTTTAATTTACCACACCTATGTAAATTTCTGAGATTTATATAAAACGGTAAAAAAAAATGTAAATTAGGATCTCCAAATAAATAAATATTTAATTAATAATATCAAAATAAAATGTAATCTAAGGTGAAAAATTTATAACTTTATTAAATCTATTTTAAATTTTTTGGCCGAAGAAATATTTTACTGTGTCCATTGTAATATCTTCGATTTAAAAATTATGCATATGGGATGTAGGCAAGTAGCTGCTTTTCGTGAGTACAGATTCTAAGCCGACCAAAAAACTTTATGTTGAGTAATCTATCATAACTTAATTTCCAAATCATTCCATTTTAATATTCAATTAAACAGTTCTCCTTTTTTATAAAACTAATTAAACAGTTCTTTAAAATAATGATAAACTTGGAGAATATAATAATCCTGTTTTGAGATTTACATATATGATTATGAAATTTCAAATAATATATATCCCCCAAAATCCAAATAATAATACTCCTCTAGTTCTTAAAGTATGATCTAATTAACTAATTTGAGTAGATTAAAAAGTTACTTAAATTAATTAATATGATATTTTTTTTAAACACTCCAAGCATCTTTCTTGATTCCCTCCTTCTTTCTCCTACTTAATTATTGTTAGAAAAATATTAATAAAGTTAAATTAAAAAAATTGATAAACATATAAAATAATTTTTACATGTAAGACTAATATGAACTTTCAAATTAGGTATTTTATTAAAGACCAGAGGAATATAATCTACAATTGCTGATAAAAGAATATCACCGACAAATGATTTTGATGATTCTCAAGATGATAAGTCTTGTATAGTTTGATTAAATAAGTCCTAGTTTTTTTTTTCTGCCAACAATCCACTCCTAATTATCCATCGTTTTTATTTCATGATAAAATATATTTAATTTTATTTGATATTTTGATCATTGACAAATCAAAATCTATAAATCATTCGGTTTTTAATATTTCAGTTAAAGAATCCTTTAGTCATTAGATTAAAAATGAACTCGTATGCTCTTATATTCGTTCACCGTTGCCTGGTCCACTGACTTTTTTAAAAAAAAAATACAAGCATTTATTATTAAAAATATGCATATCCCCTATTTCATCTGTGAGAATTTCATATTATGATTTATATATTAAAATAATATTTTAGTTATTGGTCATTATTATTGTATATTTCAGGAGTTAAGAATCGTAAATTTGAAAATGTCAAATATTAAATTGTATATCTTTTTAAAAACAGATTATTAGATCAGAGTTAAAATAAATAAATAAGAAATTATAATTTAATTTTTATATTTTGAAAAAAAACCAGAAGTTAATTCTTTTCCTGAAAATTTCACTCCCTTAAAACTATCTTTAATCATTAATATACATAACAGCAGAGACATCATTATCAAGTACCGAGCCAAAATTTTCAAAATATATGATTTAATTTATAATTTTTACATTTTAAATGTCAAGTTCATAGTCAAAACAATGATTAAAAATAGACTTGGAAATCTCATTTACAATAATATGGACATTCATATTTACATATAATTGCAATTTTTTTTTATTGAGCACGGGTGTATTGTCCTGTTGGAGGGCACATCAGGTGTGAGTATATTTCTTAACAAAAATTTGAATATTGTCGTGCATATTAAGTATATAATCCTATACACATCGATACAATATGAATCATGAAAGCATCCTGACATGATTCTTATGTTTTATATTAATATTTATTGAACTGAATTAAATTGATCCTTAATTGAGCTTTATATAAAAGTTGAATATAATATAATATAATTGAAATTAACATAAAGGCTGCGTTCTTACTTCAGCATAGTCTATTTTTTTGGTTAATTTTCCAATACATGTAATTTAATACTTTATTTCAAGTTAAAAGGTTTTATTTTCCAGACTCGAGGGTTACTTTTTCCCCCATTAATAATCCAGCAGGAATGCACTGGAGAGGAGATAAAGATACGAAATGAATGAACTAGTTTTGCCGTCAAACGTGAAAGAATAGATATAAAGTGAAGATATCTCTTAGTGATGAAGGATAGATAGAGAGCAGAGCCAATAAATAATGCATACTTTACCTTGGAAAATCACAGAAGGGTGCTAGTCTGAGTAAGAAAATCATATGCAGGAGGCAGTGAAGGGGCAAGTGACTTTTGGGGTGGGCAGAAAAAAAGGCCTCACTAGCACCTAAATATCAATTATGTATATATACAATAGGGTAAAAGCAAAAGAAAATGGCATGGCTTTATCTTCCACCATGACCAATGAATTGGACTTTGGGGTAAAAAGGGCCGCGATGGTGCACTACACCGACGACCACATGGCAAACCCAGCTTTGGTGTTTTCATCTCCATAGTCGCAGATAGCGTACGCCTCCCTCCCTATTAAGTCTTCACCACGACGCAGTTTGCACGCGCTTTAACGAGATCGCCTCTAGATCCTCTCGAAATTTTATTGTCTTTTATAAAATATTTCTATATATATATATATATACTTATTTCATGATCCCCCCCCCCAAACCCGTGATAAATAAATCACACAAGACACAACTATCTCTTCTGGTCTTCGTGATTTTGGTAACAATATATCACATTTGGCCGTGGAGGAAGAAGTTCACGCCACCTCTTTCAACTTGTAGCGTCATCTCGCTTTATTCATCCCACTTCAAATAAAGAGCTTCTTTTGCCTCCCCTTCGACTTCCTAAGTGTTTGGCAGTGATTTCCTCTCATTGAGCAACTTTTATTTATAGTTTTTTATACAAAAAAAAAAAAGCGAATTGAGTTCTAAAAACTCATCATAACTAGGGGTGCTACTCAAAAAACACTTATAAAAATGCTTACAAATTACTCGCTAACAACTTGTATTTATAAACTAGAACAATCTTAGTATCACCCTGTGAAGGTTTTTTTGGGTCCTGTTCCGTACGTTGAAAGAGATTCTGAAGAAGTAAGAGCTGAAAATGGAGATGAAAGTATAAGTAGAAATAGAAATGGAGGTGAAAATGGGGTTTACAGCATACAACGGAAGGCTAGCATGATTTTTAATGGGTACGTATATTTATATCACGCAAGTATCAATATGTCATTGCTAAATGAAATTTTTTTCCCAAAAGGAAAAACAATCCACCTTTCAAAAATCACCAATACAATCACCTCGCCGCCTAATCAGATCTGAAAATCATATGTTGGAACTTGGAATCAATCAATCCACAACAACTCAAATATCAAACTAGAAGAACCTTTTTGCACAACGCTTTAGCTGTCACCACACACTTCGCCATCGCAGATGAGTATCATGGGTCATGAAGAAAGAGGCCAAGGGGTTTGTGTCTTGTGACTGAAAATATGTTATGATTAGGTAGGGTCATCTCAGATTCCCTTTCCAAAAAATAAAAAGAGGAAAGAGGTAGAGTCATTAAAAAAATTTCAAAATTGGAAAATTCTGTCATTTAAGGTCCAGTTCAATAGAAGACGAGAGACTTCCACGCATCCGACTTCCACACGGAAGTGACATCATACCAAACAAGTCCAATCCCACTTTCACCTTCAATTCCACTTCCAGATGCAGCATGCAGTAAAGAATGCGAGTGTCGAGGATTTTCACTGCGCACGCCCTCGGGCGTATTGATGAATGATGGCATTGGTTATCCGTAATACTGAGATTCAAATCTCTAGTTCCCGGAAAAACGACCGAGTACAAGATGCGACTGGACTGGGAGTGACGAGTGAATGATAATTCAGATTTCCAATAATAAATACAAAATACTTGGTCTGCCAAAACACCAGATGGAACAAGTGAAGCACAATGGGCTCCGGCATTTACATTAACACTAATGAAATAATAATGCTACTTCAAAGATAATATACAGACCATGATGGGAAAAAAAAATTTTTAAAAAAATCCAGAAACTAGAGCCAGCACCACCTAATGTCATAAATGCACTAAATATGTCGAATTGCCTATGGCAATTACCAAATCTCCAACAACATTCAAATCCCACGACTTATTGACTGACTGAGTGTGAATAACTATTCTGGACCTTGCATCGGAAGCATCATACGCTGAACCTGAGGCTGATTTTTACCGCCAGAAAAAGAAAAAGGTCAAATCAATATGTTATCCATCCATAAAAACGTGTCAACGTAAACTCCTTAAATTATCACAAACAGGTGAACTCAAGAGAGGGGGACAATTCCAAATATGGTTTTTCAAAAAAGTATAGACTTCCACGAAAATACTTTTCAAGTTGCATTAGTGAGACGATAAGCAAGTATTAAAGAAAGAAAGGTTCAAAGACGCATTAGGCAAAAGAGATGGGACACCACTATAATTCATTAATTTGTAACAGGGGGGGGGGGGAAGATGCTGAACCCAAATAATTTTTTATTTGATCCCTACTGACCCATCAACCTGTAATGCATCTGCCTGGAGGCAGGCTTATCGCATAAGACACTGAAGTGGCTTAATCTAAGACGATGCACCACCTAAAGTATTTTTAACTTCACACCACAACATCCAATACAAAAATATTCGATGAAAATGAAAAACAGGAAACATCTCTCTCATAATCTTGGTAGATCATTGATATAATACAATCAAAACATAATTACAAAGAGTGAAGCTAGCAAGGACAGACTGCATCTAAAATTTAAAAAGATAACATCCAGCCACATGGAGGATTGCATGAAACCAACGGGCATCATTCACATGCGCATCAACAAGCCTCTTTTTTTAAGTAAATAAATCATCACTCTCATTAGCAAGGTTGGAACCCAAAAGGAAGCAAAATTGCAACCAAGGATATCCGGTATCCGGTCAACTTTTATGCATTAGGAAAAGAGAGAAGTCCAGAGCTATTGCGGCTCTAAGGTTCTCCATTCTGTGTGCTTTGCAAATTTCATTAGGAATAAGAATTTCAAACATGGCACCAGCTTCCTATGCGCTCATTTTATGGAGCCAACTAAAACCAACAAGCTGCTATTCAGCACGTCTAGTGCAATACGAGCCAACTGTAGCTGTGGCTCATCTTATGGTGAAGAATTATAAATCATTGCTTCTAAGATAGATCTTTGGTGGTATGACTTCTAATAACAAATTAAAAATAGAAATGGAATTAAAGCTGAAAAGTCCTGCTATTAAGGATATCTCATTAAGTCATGAATCCCATCAGCATCATAAACCAAATTGTTTATGCCTAGGAACTACCACATTAGATTTTGAAACAGAAAACAATTGAATGCAATTAAGATATGAGTCCAATCAGTAAACCCAGCATTTTCTTCATTATAACAAGATGCCGCTTCCAGAAACATAATAGAGTACGGGAGGTTACCTGAGAATTTGTATAGTTAACACCTTGTGAGAAAGAACCTTGATGAGCGAGCTGTAGATTTTACAATAAAATGGGTCAACATCAGGCATTGTCATATCAATGACTTTCTATCAATAAAAGTATGCATAAATATACATGTGCCAAATATATACCTGAGCATTAGGACTTGGTTGAACATCTTTCTTAGCAGATACTTCTCCGCCCTTCGCCGAACCCTTGGTATCACCCTAATATGCCACGATTTGAAAAACATAACATATACGGGCACAGACAAATAAGAAAGGTCGAATCGAATGTGAAAAATTAACAAGTGGAATAGCTATTGAAGCAGTAGGACTGTCAAAGTATGAACTAACCTCCATCTGCAACGAGCCCAATCGTCCAAGAAGAGGAAGACCCGGAAAAAAAAAAAAAAGGAACGAAAAGTCAGTGAAAAATCAAAGTTGAACAGGAGGGGACTCAAGCCAATCAAAAGTTCCAGTGATTTATCTTTCGTGGAATATTTCGACGTTTCGGGTAATAGGTTTGTTTTCAGGGAAACAGAAAAGTAAAGAAGCTTCTCTGGACTTTATTCACCTGCTTTAATCAATAACATTGGCGATAAACAGAACATTACCTCCCTGTATCTGCCCAGATAAATCTTCAGGGGATCGATGTAATCCTCGAACCCTAAAGTTGCCATTGCCCAAAGTAAATCATCGCCGTTAATCGTCTTCCTCTTTTCCCTCTGACACTTATCACTCGCCCTACATAATTCGACCCCCAATTAAACCCCAAGCAAATAATATTTTCGACAAAGATAACTACGTACATGAACAATTAAAGAAAAAACACACTCGCTGGTGACAAAGCTGATGAACTCGGAAACGCATTCCTGCACGGTCTCCTTGGCATCCTTGGCAATTTTTCCATTAGCAGGAAGTCCCTTCTTCATGATTCGGCTGATATTGGCGATGGGCAGGTACCTGTCCTGCTCTCGGACATTAGAGCGGGGGCTCTGATCGCCGCTCTCGTGGCTACCACCAGCGCCAGGACTGGCCGGAGCATCAGCCATCGTTGCAGGAATCCTAATACGACAAAGGAAAGACACAAATCCATCATCGATTAGGCACAAGAAAAAACCTAGAAACGGATCGAAACGAAACCCTAGAGAGAGAAGGAGGATGAAGAAAAAGGAGCGAGAAGCGAGGCGGGTGTGACAGAAATAAGGCGGGTAGGTACCTGGGGGGATGCGGAGAATTTGTATTTGGCGCGAGAGTGAGATCGGTGAGAATGGGAGAAGGATCGGACGCTGGAGAAGGAAGGAGTTAAGGAGACGATTGAGATGAGAGAATGAGTCGTATCAACGGTGTTGGTTTTGTTTTAATGCAACAAATAAACAAGGCTTCTCTCTTTCTTTTGCTTTGTAGATTCTGCATTCTCTCTCTTTCTCCGCTTCGGGGCTTCTGTGCTGAAGATCAAGGCCGGGCAGATGATTCGACCACGTGGTTCCTGTACGCGTTCGATGTTCCGAGTCTGAGGAACGACTCCGCAAATTATTGAATCAAAACCCCTTCCTATCGGTTATGGCGGCCAAAAACACAAAACAAAGGCCCTCCTTCTTTATTCCTATCAACGTGACATATTACTGAAAAAAATCTAAAAATATATCTTAAAAATTAACCTCTTGAAAATAAAAGTGAATTTTCTCATGGCTAAAAGCGTATATTTTTATACCAGGAAGGTTTGTGTTTTAAATATTTTCTGGGTTATTTTATATTTAACAAATATTTTAATGAAATCTAATTGTTTATTAAAAAATGAGATAAATATATGGATCTTTTTTTTGGTGCATGAATGTTTTACTCATCGTTTATAAAAATACTCATCAAAATATTAGGAAACTTATTATTCAACGAAACACAAATGCAAATCTTCATTTTTTTCATGACAAGCAAAGCATACTTAATTATCTCGTTTAATAAAATCTAATTTTGATGCGTATTTCTATTTCCATGCAATATTCGCAAAACCAAACAGGAATAGGCATGGAAAAGACATGACAACTCATGCATGTTTTGCTGTTGATAAATGATGCTTCGTCCATGGCATTGGCACGGTGAGTTACCATCGTGCCCTTTTACACTGTACGCTTTGATGTGGCCAATAAACATAAAATTTTGTGAAGGTAAAATAATTCACCAGTGAGGAGAATAACACAAATTTAAAATTCCAGGAAGTTCACTCTTTTTAGGAGGGTTTTGGTTTTAACGTTTCAAACCTGATAAAAATTAATTTTAAGTCTAAAATAATTTTGAGAGGTTCTAAATTTATAAAAAAAATGTAATTGAAATGATTTTTGACAGGGACAATGACAAGAAATAATAACAAAAGTCCATTGACTCTCATGTTTTTATGGGTAAATTACTGGTTCAAATACAATAATTAGAACAAGATGAACAACAGATTACATTGGCAGGATTATTAATTAGGAACATTTTTTCCTCATAATTAAACTTACAGGGCAAGTTTATTAAAGTCATGTAGCATCTACCACTGTTTGCATGACTTCTAATCTAATTGTTTTCAAAATCCTGAATAATATAAGGTTTAGTTTAACTTTCAATTTGGTTCTAAATGTAAGACCCTAACCCACTTTATCTGTTATATCTAATTAAATATCTGTAGTAGTTGCACATGTTAAAGATTTTATGAAATTATAGTTCTGGCTAATCTATAGGATTAGCAAATATATTTTAGAAAATTTGAGTTATATTTGTTACAAATAACTAACTTAATAAATTTTTTTAATTTACTCAAATTAGTTAATTAGCTTTTATATTAAAAATGAAGTACTACCTCCTGTCCTAATTATAAGAGTCAGTTGACTAATTTGAGGAAATTAAGAAAAGAAGTTAAGTTAGTTATTTGTAATAAATATGTGTTGTATTTCCTAAAATATCCTTACTACTCAATTATGTTGGCTAAAACTATAATTATTAGAAGGACTATCTTAGAAAAAATTGAGTAAATATAAAAGACAAAATGGATTAGGGTCTTATATTTATGATCAATATAAAAGTCAAACAAGATTTTATACTACCTCTGGTCCTTAATATAAGACCCTATTTGACTTTTATTTTGGTCCTAAATATAATATCCCAATTCATTTTGTCTCTTATATTTATATATTTTTTCCAAAGTAGTCCTTCTAACAATGATAGTTCTAGTCAATACAATTGATTAATAAGGATATTTTAAAAAAGGCAACACCTATTTAAGACAAATAACTAACTCAACTTACTTCTTTAATTTCTTCAAATTAGTCAATTGGTTTTTATAATTAGGACCGGAAGTAGGATTAAGGAGCAGAGTTAGCAGTATATTAGATGCCCACCCACGAAATAGAAGATAAGATTTTCGCTGTTCACAAATTTGGAAGCTTAGCATCATCACCAGAATTATCGCCAGGCAGTTATTGATAACTAAACACGTGTGATAATAGGACATCATTTTTTCCACAAATGCCTGGTTATTGATAGCAAACGGACGCTATGTCATTATCTAGGAGTATATTTTAATCCAGTTATGCGCCTATGACGTGTACAATATTTTATTCTGTTTTTGCCCCCTCTTTCTAATGAGTTCGTGTGTTGGTGATACATGTAAACAGTCACACGTCTACGCGCGTGCATCTGAATTTTGATAATAGTTTTTTTTTTTGGCCAAAGATTTTTAATAATAGTTATATCATATATATTAGGCAAAAGAATATACTTAGTTTTCTTTTTAATTTTACAATAAAAATCTTTAATTTTTAAAAAATATCTTTCCTATCTTCTAACCTGAACAATATTAATCTTAAATGATATTTTTTATAACAATTATTATTTTAAAAATTAAACTTAATACAATAATATTTGAGAAATTCCTTTAACTTTTAAAATTTTAATATTAGCATATTTTTGTTATCAGCGTTGGAATTAAAAAATTGAAAAAAATACTTTATAAAATTAAAAGATTAAAATAGAATCTTGTATAAAAATTTAAGACTAAAAGTGTACAATTCCATCGTCACATAGATCAACATCAATCATTTTAATACATGAATATGTCAACACTAAAGCATTTTTTTTCCCTATACATCAATCAAAATTTGCAAACTAAGCTACACCATCCGTGATTTGAGAATTAGTATTATCTGCCCTAAATTTTATGATATACTACCACCGATTCTTAATATCAAAACTCGTTTGATTTTTATTTTAATCATAAATATAAAACCCCAATCTATTTTCTCTCTCATATTTATCTATTTTTTCAAAATAATTACTATAATAATAGTAATTATAACCAATACATTTGATTAACAAGGATACTTCAAGAAGAATAACTTCTGTTTTTTTACAAATAACTAACTTAACTAGTTTTTTTAATATGTTGAAATCAGTTAACTGGCAGAGGTAGTATAATCATATCTGTTGATATATATTTTTTCCCATAAAAACCGGCCCCAAACTGAGGAAGAAAACAAGGTGAACTTGCCTTTCAAGAGCTGTCTCACTGAACTAAACAATTTATAACACTCAAATCGTTATCCTACTTTCAAGTCGCCATCTTTTTTATCTTTTTTTTTTTTTTGTGGGGTGGGGGGTGTTGGGTTGCAGCTGCACATAGGAAAGAAAAATAAGAGGGAAAATGAGAGAGGTGAAGGTTTACAAGCACGCCTATCTTGCAGTGGGCTGCGCAATGGATTCATCAATAGACAAGAAATTATCAGCTGCACCAAGATCCATTGACCCCATGTTCATGGAAGAATGAACAGATTGTCTTGACATTTCATCTGAGTTGCCTTCTTTTATTGTCCCAGCCTCCCTTTCTATAGAGATTGCATCTTGGATCTCCTTCAGAACTTCAGAAATTGATGGCCGCATGTGCCCGTGAGGTTGAACACACATCAAGGCTTTCTCTGCTATTTTCCACATCGACTGCAGATCGTACTCGTTTCGCAGTGAAGGATCGATGATTCCTTGTATGTCTCCACTCTCAATGTGCATTTTTGCCTGTTATGCAGTCAAAGCTAATGAGTTAAATCGTTTCAGCAACTATATGACTCAAGTTACTGTGTCTGCAGAGAAATCAAAACTCACCCATTGGACTATGTTTCTGCAATTTGCACCAAAGCTCTCATTTGATATTGCTTCTTGACCTGATATGAGTTCAAGAAGAATGACGCCAAAACTATAAACATCACTCTTGTCTGTCAGCTGCTGGGAAATATAGTACCTGTTCAAGAACAGCTTAAATTATGTTACATGGGGAAACACCAGATGTTGACTTGGACAACCAAGACAACTCGGATTCGAGTGATGATGCAGCATACAAGTAAGACGCTAAAATAAAATTTAGTAGTCAAGTTTATCCTTCGCCTGATCTCAAGGAAACGCAGATTTTCAAGGTTAAGGCCTTACTCTGGATCCAAATACCCTACTGTGCCCCGAACAATGCTTGAAACATGGGAAACTCCATCAACGGCTAGTTTTGAAAGGCCAAAATCTGAAACCTTGGCTCTCATGTGTTTGTCAAGAAGAATATTGCTGCTTTTTAAGTCTCTGTGAATAACAGAAGGAACACAGCCAGTGTGTAGATATTCAATCCCTGAACAAGCACGAGAGAAATGCAATCTGTTGTTTTAAATCCGCATACAAAACAAGAAGAAACTTTTATTATCCTCTCCAATAGTATTTTATAAATGATAATTCATCTAACTGTACCTTTGGCAGCATCTTTCGCAATTTCCAGACGCTTAATCCAATTGATACTCCGCCCACGGGTCAATGGACCTAAAAGAAGTTAAACACAATTGAGTATATGCATATGGACTTCCACACCTTCGTTTAAATCACACTTATACAGTCTTACCATAAAGATGTTCTTTGAGAGTTCCATTATGCATGAACTCATAAATAAGCATACTGTTGCCTTCTTCTCGGCAGTACCCAAGAAGCTGTACCAAGTTCCTGTGATGTATCCTTGAAAGAAGAGTCACCTGGATCAAACAGAGATATAATCTAATGATGAGCCGCCAATACTTTGAATCCACTGGTTTTCTCTGAATGAGATAAAGATGTTTCACCTAATAGCTACGAAAATTTTAATCCTCAAATGAATATAGACATATCTGTTTACTTTTTCGAAACAAAGCAAACATTCATAGATTATGATATGGAGGTTTACATAAATCAAATTAAGCAGGGACAGCTGCAATGTTGGGATACTGAAAGAAATTAACTGAATGCAGCTTACCTCATTGGAGAATTCTCGCTTTCCCTGATAGGAATTACTGGTCAGAGCTTTAACAGCAATCTCTTTTCCATCTTTCAGTACCCCATAGTATACAACTCCAAAACCTCCAGAACCGATCTTCTTCTCAAAGTTATTTGTGGCATTTTCAATTTCAGTAAAACTGAAG